ATTGTTGCTTGACTGCTGGTTCTCTCATTATCTAGCATCACTACAAAACTTCAGAGCCCTGAACCCCACTGGCAACATGCAGAACTGCTGCAAATAGGTGAAAACTATATGCAGTAGCAAGATCTACAGTGTTTCCAACCAGGAGTTTGAGGGTTTAGGGTGCCAAAGAGTGCATACGAAATTCAAAGGAACAAAGACAATGTTTCTTTCTAAAAAATTCAGACATACACTGTTGCACATGATGCTTAAAATTCCAAAGAGTTAAAAGTTAAGAACAAACGGCAGTGCTTACTTCAGGGAAAAAACACATAATTAAGAAACTAGAAATGTTATAAAATGTACATAGCATGGAGAATGTTACACATTCTTGCAGTAATTTACCACAAAGAATAGAGCACTTAAGGGCCTGAAAACCTGGCTTAAGACAATAAATAATGGGCTAAAATACACACGGCATTTGGGCACTCAACTCCTGATGTCTGTCAGTGCAAGTCAGGCATCATGTAGGTATGTGAGAAGTCACACTAATTTAAAAGAAAATATTAACTATTTTAATTAGATGGCCATTCTAAATAGGCTCTGAAATGCAGAAGCAATCGCCAGCAGAATAAAACAGCCATTACATGCTTTTTAGTCACAGCGTTTGTTACAGTAATTCATGAAGCTCCCAGCAGTTTCACAACAAAGTAGTCACATCTACAGTTTCACTGAAATGATCATGTCTGTGCCAATGTTTCATTTTACCAATGTTTGCAGGCTCTGATTTCCATGTTTAGAAGAGGACTGAAACAAGACAACTACTTAAATTATTCCACCTCTCTGGCTTGATATTCTCAAACTTAATGAGCAAACGCTTCGGTCTGTACTGGCAAGGGAGGCTCTGCTCCTAAAGGAGACAGCTACAGCCAAGCCCCAGGCTGGTAATATGCACTGAGACTGAAAATGAGGGAACAGATGCTGTTGGAGTACCAAATGGGAGATGTTCTGTAAAAGAAAACAAACAAATCTAGCCATACTCAACAAGTCAAGGTCCAGGAAGAGAGCAGCATGTCTGTGTTCCTAAAAGTAAAAAAAGCTCTGCAGAACCAACAGAAAAAAATGTACTGCCTGATGAGTAAAATGGATTCCCTTTCCCAGAATCTCTGGATGATGCTAGAAAAAAATATTAAGCATATTTTATTTACCTGTATTAAAAACCAAACAAACAAAACCCAAACAAACACCAAAAAAAGGAACAGACAAGTGTAATTCAGTAAATCCAAAAGTTGTATCATATATCCAAGGGAATGCTTCAAATACCAACTCTGGCAAAACACGTACTCTCTTACAGAGGCTGAATCAAGATGCCTAGCTTACTTCTAAGTGTCCTGACCTAAACAGTATGACCTAAATCTTGCAAGAGAGAAGGAAAATTAAACCTCATGCCCATAAAGATTCTTACTGCCATTAGCAGGCCTGCAGTAGTCTGCCTTCTTTATTATTTTATAGCAGTACATGCCTGTATTTTAAATAGCCCAAATTTTGGTCAAGGGCAAGACACCACTATGAGATGTAAAATTTCATCACTGATTGAGGAATGCACGGAATGCATCCAGGGAGATCCAGCTGCCTGCCTTCTGAGTAGGTAGCTACTCAGTAGCAGAACTGTAAGAAGAGGTCTCCAGAGGGGCTGTGTGGAAAAGCTTCTGGTGATTCTGTGTTGTCACCACAGCTGCACATGACAACTGTCAACCTACAACCCACGGACTGCTTGTGACAACCCCATTTGTGAAGACCAGCTGGGATCACTGAGCAGGTTCAGTGGACTGTTCTGCTCGGATGTACTTTTCTCAACCAAAGAAGGAATTTCTCAACTCCTCCTCTCCCTGTCCTCTTACCGTCACTTACAGCTGTCATTCTACATATGTGAAATAAAGCTGTGGTCCTGGCAAGCTGGCGGGAGGCAGGAATGGGGGTACAAAAAACAACCCTTTAAGACTGAAGTTAGGTAAGTATCTGCTTGACAAAAAAAAAAAAAAAAAGGCTAGTTAGAGTCTCTTTAGCCCACCTCAGCTTTTTGAATCCTGCCTCCTAAAAGGATCCAATGCTTGTTATACTCCAATGGAGCCTTCCCCTTACCTCGCATCCCTAAACTACTCACCTCCACCTATAAAAGTCTGCAATGCTGTTGGTTGCTAAGTCTCCTGCCATTGAAGCAGCAGGAAGAGAAAGAAAGTAGTAATTGGAATGACCTGCTTTCATAGACTGCAAGTCATCTATTATGAAAATAGTTATTATTTATAGCACCTGAGAGATACAGTTCAGAACAAATACCCTCACCATGCAAAGCTCTGAGCTTTTTTTCAGGAGTTTTGGTTATTCAATGGTATCTGAAAAAGCTCTCTGCATCTTCACAAAATGCCAGCATTTGTGTTTCCTAACAAACTCTAAGATACCATTAGAGGCTCATGATATTACTGGTGTTACAAACAGAGTATATTCTCCCACTGAAGGCAAGTAGCAGCTATCTGCAGGGAAAAATGAAATGTTTGCGTCTCAGAGTAGAAACCACCAGGATTTCTACTTTCTGGCATGTGGAATCATGGAAAAAATGAGATACAAACTCATTTTGAAAGTGAGGTGTATGTTCATCCAAATGAATTCATCATCTATATTCATCTAAGCCGCCCTCCTAAGAGGTAAAATCAGATGAGAATTAAACTATACATTAAACGGTATAGTAAGTACTGGTGCTGTACTTTCAATAATGAAAGAAGGTACACACAAATGTAATATTAGTAAATACAAATGCTCTTCTAAGCTTTGATTGAGTCTTTAAGGATGTGAAAGTTACAAGTTTCTGCTTCTAAGAATGTCAGAAACAATATTGGTAGGTTATGGGAAAAAGATGATCTGGAAGGAAGCATAGATGAAATAACTGAAGGTAATCAAAACATTCCAAATTATATGTCCTCAATAAAAATATTATTTTCTAAACAATTTTCAATTTAAGTTCAATCACAATTTTAGAATATGTTTTAAAACACAGACTAACACTGAATTTGTAATACTTCTTTTGACTCTCATTTGCAATGATTTCATAGGCTGATGTGGTTCCTCAGTGCAAATACTCCACTGTCAAATACTTAGCTTCACATGAAAAGTATAACTTATAGCTTGTATATTACAAAGACGATCTAAAATACTTACAAAAAAAATACTTTACCAAAATTCCTACAAATTACTTAAGGTTTTTTTTTTTGAAAGGACAGTTTCCTTCAAGCAACTTGCTGCTGCTTTGCATGCATCCACAGCCCCCACTGTCCCATGTCTGCTCCTTTGCCATTTATTTCAAACAATTTCGTACTTTACTGACTTAAGTTTACAAACTATTGCTATTCTTACACCAACTTTCAACATCTAATTTTTAATGACACATAACACAAGTCATCTTTACCCGTACTCCTTGCATTTGAGTAAGGGGTATGCATCTCCAGATACACGGAACTTACGATCTAGGGAGACTGTGATTTCTAGATATAATTCTGATTTCAGTAAACATGCATTTCAAGAAGTAACAAATGTCAGGGTCACTTCTCTGCTGCACTAATAATACAAGATGCATCATTATCTGAATAAACAACTACAACTGTAAACAGAAAGTGTTCTAGATAGAAAATATTCTGTTTACTATACAGATCGAGAACAAAGAAGTGGATATCTAGAAGGACACTTAACTTCTCATATTGGATTTACAGATGAAAATATGTATCTTTACCAAAGCACATGTACTTTGAAGATGCTTGTGCTTTTGTTACGCTTCAACTTGCATTGTTATTGGGCTCCTTTTGTTGTTTTATTCTCCTTTAAGTTTAGATGTGATTTCACCAACTTCTGCAATAGTAATTTAGACCTCAGAATCTGACTACAAAGTGCTGCTTACCAGAATAGTCATTCTGAATATTCAGGCATATACATTTCCATGTTCACAGTCTGCTTCTGTAAGATGTGTACACATGTGGAAAATAACATTTGTATGCTAATGTTAGCAAACTTCCATATGCAAATTAGCCCTCTCTTTCCCAATTAAATACATCCTTCTCCTGCATCTCTCGGGGTCACATAGGAATGAAAGACAGAATTTGACCACTGCCTACTTACAAATAGTAAACATACTTTACAAGATTGCTTTCTGCATTTAGTGTTTCTTACAAGAACTGTGTGAGGTGAAAGGAAATTAAGGTGAATGGAAATGGAAGCCAAAGGTAAGACTCTTGCACTTTCTGAAACAGAAAAATGTAAGTCCACCGGACTTGTCCACTAAAATAACCACTAATATTCTTTTTTTTTTCCCCCCAGGAGCAGCTATCAATCTTATATATGCTAAGGATAGTGTTATTTTTGTGTTTAATATTGGAGTTACAATGGCGTAATGTATTTCTAGGCATAATATGCAGCGTTAGTGTCCCAGCCTCTTGACTTGTAATCTGTTCCCTACCGACAGGATCCTGTACTGCAAAAAGCCACCATGATAAAAAAAGGCTTTGCAAGGGTATGGACATCATTCATATGAAATATTTTGCATATTTCATTACATCAATGATTTCACGACCTTTGAGAACCGCAGGTTTCAAACAGCCTTCTGCACACGAACATCTTCAGAACACACAGCTTTCAAAATAGAGACTCCTTTGGAACCAGTAGTTTCAGTCATGCTGTAAAGCTTACACCATCCATTTCCTAGACTTCCTAGCAGTTCTAGAAACGAAGTAGTTCAGAAATGATGGGTGCAGATCTCAGGTTCACCGAGGTAAATAAAATCACTTCCTTTTATGTAGAGGGATTCAATTCACACTTGCATGCAGGGGAAACCTAGTCGCTCCATAGTCATATTAGTGTAACTGAACAGAAACAAATGCATCTACACAGGGCCTGAAAGCAGACTCTAGCACACTATTAAGTTTCTTCAGTTCAATAACTTCTTGCAAAGTCAAGGACATCTAGTCCTCCTTAAGACTTACAATTTCAGACTAGACTATGGTGCCATCTTATGCTGTCAGTGTCTGGCAGGAACTCTGGTGCTCTGTCCTCCATCAACTTCTTTAAGGAGCATTCTTATCTTGCACAAAACTGCTGTCTTCAGGGTCCTGGGTACTCATCAGCACTTTTAATGAAACACGATCTGTGGACAAATGAGTGGTAGAACAATTCTAGTGATATATGAATTACAACGTTTGAATGGTTTTAAAAAGCAGTGTAATTAAGACTGGTTGTGTCATAGCTTATGCAGTTTGATGAAGTTACATATGCACAGACACATCAGTTTGTACAGTGACATGTTAGCTGTGTGAGTGACAGTGGGCAAAACTAGAGAGCATGCTCTTCACGCTGCAGTTATTAGTATCTTCCACTGAAGCTTTCAATATCCACCTGAACCGCTGGCACACCTGCAAGTATCAAGTTTGCATACACAGGATTATGAAGATAGGTATCATCCTAAACAAATGAATGCACATAAAAGATATAATGTGCAGTTGTTACTCTTACTAGCACTCATTGCTACTTGAGCCCAGCATCACATATTCAATTATTTTAGAAAAGATGTCTAAATGGTCTTTTTAGTGTAGTGATTGGCAAGGCTAGTCTGAAGGAGTGTTTATCTGGTGATAGATAAGGGAGATCACAATCTCCCTGTAAAAGGAGTTGCTTATACCTGAAGAGTGAGTAAGTGTCAAAAACTAGAGTTCCTGTTAACACACACAGCTGTGTCCACAGGTCAGCACTGCTATAAAAATACAGAAGATCGCACTGCCTAGCTGTCATACCCATAAAAACAGTAGTAAAACACAGAATGAAACTAGTCATTTGATAGGAAACTAGTCATGATAAGAATCACAAAGAAAACAATAAACATTTTTTTTTTTATGCTAGAAGTCTGCCTCTTAAAAATACTAAATATTTGGGGCAGCTACCCTTGATCTTAATCCAGGGTCAGACTGCTACTTTCTATTACACCAGTTTCTTAGAGCTGCAAACAGGGGTTTGAGCCCCATTGAAACAAGATATGAAAGGCTGTTCCTTCCCCAGACAGGTTAGGAATCAGGTTACATGCAGCAGATCACTGAGCAAGGAAGGGCTAAGAGGAAAAAAGACACAAACCAAGAACATACAGAAACACTTACTGTAATTTTAGCTGGTCACAAATCAGGAGTCTCACAATGCAGGAGCTTGAATCTGACTTCTAACATGCAAATTATCACCGTACTAGCTCTTTAATATGTTGCTCAAAATCACAGATCAAGTTGGTTCCGTACCATTAAGGGAGGAGTCTGAAAAGAGCCAAAAAATAATTACTGTGCCTGAGCTCCACAGTGAGATAAAAAAATCCTGTCACCCTCCAGAGGCATTCAAGACCCTTGCCCTTCTTGAATATCATGGCTTGCTCACTATGTGGTAGCACACATACACATACATGTACCCTGCATCTCCTCTGGCCTTATTCTGATAAAGCTGCTTTAGTACAAATCAACTCTTCAGTTCTTAGCTTTCACTTGCATGTTTTATTTGCAGGGAGTCTCGAATATCCTCTAAAGTAGAAACACTTTATCTCTGAAAACTAAAACTCTTTAACGCATCAGCTTAAACCAAAACCCCATGCCCTATCACAGGGATATCCTGGATCCCATCAATCACACTTTGCTGTGGTCTACACAGGATAAGAAGAAAGAGAACTGTGATATCAAAATTCTCAGTGATTTTAATGAAGATGGCATTCTGTCATGCACTTTTTAAAAAGCTACAATTCAGAAAGCCTCTTCTACAAAAGCCTATGGAGCTCTAGTGCCCACTGTCTCTTCTGCCTTTTGAATCAATACCCCACAGGACAGAGTGATCTGGTTAAGCAACTAACAACCAACAAAACCAAGGAAAACTCCCTGACTTTTGGCAAGGGTTTGATTGTGGACAATTGTGAAGTAAAGTCAAGCAAGTGGAATTCTTTAATGTAGTCTGTTAGGGAAATTTACTCATTTTATCCTGGAAACAGAAATTGCATAATATGTACATTAACTTCACTCCCTTTGTTGAACAAACTTAACTTCCCTATCTTCCTATCTCATCTCTTCTGTTGAAAATACCAAAACAGAGCTAAATGGCTGATCTTTTTAGGCAGAGGCAGAAAGTCAGAACAGATTTTTTTTTTTTTTTTTTTTCTTTCCTTTCTTTTCGGTCCTGTGCTACAAATCAGTGTAATTGCTCCTGCTGCAGCAACATCTGCCTTTCCAGATACTGAGAAAGCAGATACTGGAAAGCATCCTGCTACGTAATGGAATTTTGAGATCCAGAAAACAAAATAAATGTTCGTAAATAACTTTACTGCCCACCCCCCCACCCCCCTTTTTTAAGCATAAACTGCGTAACAGAAAACAGCTTGTACATTTCAAACCAGTTTAGGTACTTAAAAGCTGAATGTGTTTATTAGTTTTTCTGCTTTGTATGTTATCAAAATTAATATCGAAAGGTGCATGCTATAATCATTCAGATTTGCATTCTTGTTGTGTATTCTACCATGTATCACACTAAATTATTACTAAATTGATGGTCTTGCTGTTTAAAGGCTCTCGTTCTCGTTCTACATGCATGACATCCAGCTGGCAACTCTCTGCAGTGGAGTGACAAACATTTTAAAGCTTAGCCTTTAAACCATAACAACAATGCTAAATGAGAAGTAAAAAAAGCTCCAATAAACCAACAACTAAACACTACAAAGAATAATACCTATTCCATTAAAACAAAATGAATAAAACAAGTAAACATGATGCTCTTACCCTCCTGCACATACCTACTGAAAACGTTGGGACTCATTATATGCAAATGTAAAGTAAAAGTTCTGGTATCCATTTTATTCATGTTCAAGTCAACAGGCTAAATTTTCTCTCTCTCAATGGACATGTACTGAGCCCCTGAAAAATCCCTGGCTTCAGATTTACCACCCTAATTCAAATATATCAGTGAAAACATTGGCAAAAGCACTACATTCTGGTACTCCAGAGGAACAAATTGGAAAACAAGTGTAGGGCAGGCAGAGTATTTTTTACTTCAGATATTCCACACAGTAGAATTCAGCACTCTGTCATGTACCACACAACTTCTGCTGAAAACAACATGAGCATTTGGTCTATCCAAGATTCAAACTTAATCCATCAACTTCTTTGTTGTATAAATCATACAGTTATCTCAAACTGCCTAAGAAAACACTGCGGTCAAGCCAAAAAATTGCTTCCTCAGTACATACAACACTTGACAAATAACAAGAAGGTAATGCAGCCACATGTCTTTTGAATCCGTAATTTACTGGTCTAACATAAACACAGAATCTGATCCTCTGCTGTAAATATTTGCCAATCAGGTGGCAGCCGGTGGAGCTGGATCAAAACCTCAGAAACTTTGTAAATAACACTGTAATACAAAGTGCTCCACCTACTAAATTTGTTTCTGCTTTCCAAATATAAGGTAAAAATCAGTCTCACTAAAAAGTAGTCGCATAACAAGAAAACTGTATGTAAAGTTTGAAAAAATCCTCTTCACTGCAAACAAGCTCACAGGGCACACGTGAAGCGTCTTCTGTTCCACCCATAACTCCACCAAAACCCACCTGCACCTAAATCTCCAGCTTCCCAACACTTTATTACCTACAACGCCAACTATCCTGCTCTCAGCACTGCCATCTAGTAGAAAGCGGCAGCGTACCACGGGCTGCCCGTCACATCAGCTCAAAGGCAGCAAAATTCCCGGAAAGCATCGCAAAGCTGTTGCTGCTAAAAATTTTAACTGCAGCCTGTAGTTAACTACCGACTATGCCGGTCGGAAAGCAGCCTCCTCCAAATCCCCCCCAGTCCTTCTCAAGCGAGATCCGCTATGCGCATACACCAGCGTCTGCTCCGCGTACCTTGGCGTGTTTTTTGTGTTGGTTTTTTTTTTTGTTTTTTTTTTTTTTTTTTGGGGGGGGGGGGGCAGGCGCGGGAGGAACAGGGGAAATTCCCGTTGCGAGCCGCCAGCCTTGTGCACGCCGCCACCACGCCCCGGGCCCGGCGGCCGGCTCCGGAGGGCCGGGAGGGGAGCGGGCGCCCGGGGAGGCGGGCTGCCCCCCGCACCCCTCGCGGGTTCGCGGGCAGCTGCGTGGAGCCCGCGGGTGTCGTCCCCCCCCCCCTCCCCTGCCCCTCCGCGCATCGGCCGGGCTGATGCGGCTCGCCCACCTCCGAGCATCGTCCTTCCCCGGGGCACCGGGCTGCTGGCGCTGCATCTCTCTCTGCGCGGCAGGACGAGACGGGAAGCGGCTGCAAGAGAAGCCAAGCCCGGGACCTGCCCTGCCCTGCCCTGCCCGCCCCCCCCGGCGTGCAGCCGCCCCCCGCAGCCCCAGGAGCGGCCGCCGCAGCGCGGCGCGGCACAGCCTTACCTCCCCCGGCTGGCTCCGGGGCTCCGCCGCTGCCCCCCGCGCCCGCCCCTCCACCTGCGCCGTCACCTCCCCGCCTCGCCCTCAGGTGCGGAGGGAGCAACAAAGGCAGAAGCCGCCCGCTGCGGCGCGGCGAGGGGCAGCGCGCCCTCACGCGCCGCGCCGCTCCCCCGCCGAGCGCTGCACCGGCGCCCCCGCTCCCGCCGCCGGCAGCCGCCCGCTCCCCTCCCCGCTACCGACCGCCCTGCCCGCCTCCCGCCCGCAAACCGTTACGGCCGTTAAAAACCGTTACAATTTGCCCCGCGCCTCTCCTCAAACACCCACTCCCCCCCCCCCCCTCCTCCCCCCCGCCAGTGCGGGGGGTGTCGGCGCGACGAAGCGCCCCTCAGCCTCCTGAGGGAAGTTCCCCAGCCGCGGGGGGAGCTGAGGGGGACCCGCCGCCCCCACGTACCCCACCGCCATTGACACACACTGAGCTCTCCCGCCGGCGAGCGCACCGCCCCCGCAGCCCCCGGCAGACACGTACTCGCAGACCGCCACGGTGCCCTGCCTTCCCCGCCGCCGCAGGCGCGGACCCTCCGCTCGGCGCTCTCGCCAGACAGAGCGGCCGCCGCGCCCCCCCCCCCCCCCCCCCCGCTCCGCGCCGCTGCCGCGGAGTGGGTGCGTGTGGAGGGGGGGGGGACACACAGGTGATGAGCGGGCAAGAGAAGAGCCGCTCCCCCCACGCCGAGGCGGGAAGGGCCGTGGTGCAAAACCGCTCCCGCCTTCCCCCCCCCACCCCGTCTTTGCAGATGCCCCCGGGAAGGGCTGCGAGGCTGGCAGCGACAACAGCCGCCCCCTCCCCCGGGAAAGCTGTTCTCCCTCCTTCTCCCTCGCTCGCCTTCTTTGCAGCTCGGCCGCTTGACTGACAGGGAGCCTTCCAGCGGCCGCCCACGCGCGCTCCCGTTTCCCCTCAGTCGGAGAGGGAGATGGCGAAGGAAGAAGCATGAATGAAACAGCCAGGCAGCGAGCGGGAGCGGCCGGCGAGGAGCCGGCCCCAGCCCCCGGGAGAGCCGGAGCCGCTGCCGCAGTGAGGGCCCGGGGGGGTCGGGCGGTGTGTGGCGGGCGGCTCTGCGGCGGGGCGCCCGCGGCCCCAGCCGCTTCGGTGGGCTGCTGCTTCCTGAGGGGGGGAGCCGGCGGCCGCGGGCTGCCAACGCCCCCCCCCGCCCCCAGTCTCTCTTCTTCAGAGGGGGCTGAGAGGCCATTTTAAGACGTAGGCACCCCCCGGGAGTTTATTTCTGCCATTCAGCCCCCAGATTCCCGGGGCCGCATCAGAACGGTGGCTAGAGCACGTGTCTTAGTGCAGGTGCTTTAGCTACGTGGTTGACTTTGTGCTGATGGGGATGTGGAGCGTGCCCCCCGTCAGCTCAAGTTTGGGTGAAAAGGCTTGGAGCAGAAGGTGGAAGGCTCATGCCTTCTCAGATCAGAGCCATGGCCTTATATTAAGGCAACGTGGCTGATTCCTCATCTCCAATAAGCCTGCTTTGCTCTACCAAAAGCAACCCATTTTATACTGATAAAACCCTAGTACCTGCTACCTGAACCAGGACTCTTGTCCAGAAGTAATAGCAGGGAGGAAAGGATGTCAAATACTGCTTTAAGCCCACTTGGTTTTTCCAGTGGTCACTTGGTACTGTGGGCTAGCCTTGTCATAATTTTGTTCCTTAGATCAGTTGTCCCTAAAAATGTTGTAACTTGTTAAACACGTACTTCACAGCCTCTGGCTGGAGACCAGAGGTTTTCCCGGTGTTTTGGCATGAATATTGAGTTTGATTTGTGATGTTAGTTTTAGTAGCCTAATTTACTGAAGAGCCAAAGGATTAAATGGTCTGGTAATGGTGGCCTGCTAAGTCTGAAATTACCTCAGTATCCGTTCACTGAAGGTCAGCAATTTCTCTAAGTTACTTAATATTTTGTATATATTCTAATTTGTGTTTATTGGAATCCTTGATTGCAAAACCCAATAGTATTTATCTATCTAAATCTCTCCTACAATTTAAATTGAACAGGGCATTTTCCACTTCTGAATATGCATGGAATATTTTGTTATAAGCTGTTAGATACATTGCATGCTGCACTTAAGACATATCTGCATTTGCAGTTACATAATCAATAAACATGGGTTTTCATCCCATGAATCTAGAATCAGATTCTGAGCTGTTTTAAATCAGTATGCCTCCACAAATTTAATGCCTGCCAGAAAATTTATATCAGCTAAAATTTTAGCCTCTGAATTTAAAAAGCTGCTTGGGATTCATATGATGAGAAGTGTCTTAGTAACTTCAGTTTTTAAATTTTGCATTCCTGAAAACTGAGTGCACAATAAAACATCGTCAAGTCGTTTGCTATAGAATAACAAAGGTAAGATTGTAATTTAGATGGGTCAGTGCAATTCTTTATGTATTTGTTTTATAAGGTTCTTATGTTTGCACTAATAGCTCAACATGACTCACCTACAGTACATATCACTGCCACAGCTGTTGTAAACCTTTTTCTGAGTCAGAGAATGACTTTATGACCTGGAATCCTGGCAGTGAGTACTATCCTAGCGATTTTCCCAATTAAGAGAGAATTGCGAGTTGGTATCAGTGCAGGGTGAGTCAGAGTTGGATGTAAGAGGCAAAACTGGACTCATCAGTTATTACCGGACTAGCTCAGTATTCTCTTCTCTTTCAAAAGTCAGTGACATGAAAACCTGGAATGATCCTGTGATGGAAACTCCTCTTAGAGTTCAGAAAGACTGCAGTGGACCAGGGAATTAGCTCTCCTTGTTCCCAAATGCTTCTAGCTGCTGTACCAGCCATCTGCAGATCCTTGCTGTGGGGTGCACAGTAGCTTTGCAGGGGAATGGGGCCAGCAGCAGTAAACAGTTGAGAGGCATCAGGGCATCTCTGCTTTACTCTGCGAAACCATTTTGCTTCTTGGGCTTACCAAAGTGCGGGAGGTATGACATTAAAACCACACGTGCTGCTGCATGTGGTTCTCTGCATTTTTTTTTCTGGAAAACCAGGGCAAATCTGTCCCAACTAGTTTTGAATAGCAAGATTTGGGTACCCTGTGCTCTTCCACCTGCTTGCTGCAGAGAACGTTGGAATCAGTCAGCTTTCAGTTACTTTCAGTTAAAATTACATCGGAAGAGAAGGGGCCAACATGTAGGTTAGGTATATGGCTGAGCCATGAGGGCATGATGAGCTTGCATTTTGTCTGGTTGCAGTCTGGCATTTGGGTTTGTTCTGGTGTTTGTCACCCTGCTAGTCAGGGTCTAGCAGGGTTAGGGCATGGTTTGAGTCTGCGGAGGGCAGCAAGAAGGAATCATTGCTGAGGAAGGTAGAAATCACTAGCCTTCCACAATTAGGAAGGGTATAGGTGTGAGATTGGGGTGAGGTTAACATCAGACACGAGCCTGAGGATGAAGGTTAGAGATTCAGTGACCACTCAGCTAGGTTTATTGCTAGCTATGCTAGGGACTTCATTGTTGACTCAGGCAGCAGCTTTCTGCTAGGGAGGCAGAGGTTTCTGACATAGGTTTACAGCTGGGGTCAGGGTTGAACTTTGGGTGAAGCCCAACTGATGAGCCGGGTTTGAAGCAGCATTCAGAAGATGCTACCTAAATAATTTTGAAGCATCTGCTGATACGGCTGTGGAGCAGAGGCTATAGCTGAAATTTGGGTTAAAGTTTGATCTTGCTGAGAGTGAAGAAGCATTTAGGCTAATCTGGGTCTGAGGCAGCTGTTGGAGCAGGTAGAGGATCCTGGATAAGGGTTAAGTTGGGAATAGCTGGGAATTTGTAACATTTGAAGTTGGTACACTGCCATATTTGTGTCCTTGTTAATGCTATATGTCTCTTTGATGTTGTGGCTCAGGAAGTAATTAAAAAATCTAGTCCAGCTAGTTTCTAAATTACTTTGTTTTTTATTTTCCTTTTGACCTTCCACCTGCTCACAGCAAGGAGCAGTCAGGCCCTCACAACATACTTCTTTTGGTGAAATTCCTGTTAGTGGCTGAGGGATGTGGTTGAAAGTGCTCTTTGGGACTATGTATGTACTTATTATTTTTTCTAAACCTCAGGTTCATAAATGCAAATCAGCCTTCTGGAGGTAAAAAGCCAGTGAAGGTTTTAATTGTATGACAAGATAGATGCACTGAGGTCAAAGTGTTACCTGGGGTGTGATGCTGAGGTTGCTTCCTTTCCCTGCGTTTCATCTGCAGCAAAACAGCTGACCTGCACTAGCACCAGCCCAGTTCTCCTTAGATGTAAGAGCAAGCCTTGTGGAATCACAGGCACCATTAAGAGTAGTCCTTGTGGGGTTTTTTTGTGGATCTGTGGCTGAAAGAATAGGAGCAGCTTCCTGCGGCAAAAGCCCTCTCCAAACGTCAAGGTGATACCCTCAGAAGAACGATGAGCTGTTCAGCTGTAGCTTTCACGCTTCTCGTTGCCACTCAGTTTTTCTTTTTAAAAAGAGAAAGAGGGTCCCACTGACAACATAGCAGATTAAACAACACAGTCCTAGTGGACTGACATCATCTTGGGGGAAAGTAGCAAAGGTACAGTTAATAAATAATGCAACAGCTCTGGGCCTTGCTCCTGAATGGCTCAGTTCTTTCAAATTAGCCAAACCTGCTGAATTTATCTGGCCATGTTGACACATATGGGCTGCATCCTTCCCCCCCTACTTTGCTGTGTAAGGAAAGAATTAATCCTGCTTCCAGTGGGAAGAGTCCAGTGGAACCTGGCAGGCTTTTATATTTCTTTTCCTTCTCTTGGTTGCTTCAGCCTATGTCTTCTTTTAAACAGGACAGATCTCATGCAGAGGTGGTGGAATAAAAGAGCCAGAAGGCTAACCAAAGATGGCAGAGAGAGCTGGTGAAGTCCATTGTGTACTGATGTGAGAAACATTTCCATCCCAGTGTAGTAGTTCTGCATCAGGTATGTGAGATCATACAAAAATGAACATATCCACATTTCCTTAAGGCTTCTCCAAACAATATGAGGGCCAGCTTATATTTGGCCTCAGAGTCAGGTCGTATCTCCCCATCTCTTTCCTGTCCTAAGGTAAGGCAAAGTAGAAGTGATGGAGATGAATTTACTCTCTCCAAGTGTCCTCGAACTAACTAGAACAGGTCCTTCAGTAATGGAGTGTTCGTTGGGTTTTTTTTCTACAAAAGGTTATTCCAAAAATCCTGAACTGTTGCATATATAGTTATTTATATTCTGACTTTGAGCTGTGCCCTACTGTGTCTGTTGTATTTTTTACAAGTTTACCTTTCGTATAAAAAGTATCTATAAATAAATGTCCATGGGACCAGACAAGATGCATCTCAGGGTGCTAAGGGAGTGGGTTATGTCAGTACAAAGCTGCTTTCTCCTATCTTTGAAAGGTTGTGGCAACTGGAGGAGGACCTTGATGACTGGAGGAAGGCAAATGTGATGCCCGTCTTCAAAAAGATTAAGGAGGAAGATTTGTGTTACTGCAGGCTGGTTAGACCCACCTCAGCCCCTGGGGAGGTTATGAAGATTTGCCTGGAAGAAAATTCTAGGCACGTGAAAGAGAAGATGGTGATTGGGAACATCAGGGATGGGCTTACCAAAGGCAAACCATACCTGACCAGTCTGATTGTTTTGTATGTTGAAGAGTTTGGTTCAGACAACAAGAGGAAATCAGTATATATTGTTTACTTTGACATTAGCAAGGGTTTTGACTTAGTCTTTGATAGCATACTTGTAGACAGTTGAGGAGGTATGGGATGATAGGTGAGCTGCAAGGCAGGTGAAATATTGACTGAGCCCCGGGGCTTGAAGGGTAGCAGTCAACAATTCAAAATTTATCTGTTGACTGGCTATTAGTGATGTTCCTTTGGGGCTGTTGCTGTTTATCAGTGACATTTTATCAATGACCTACCTGAGGGGACAGACTATACCCTCGTTTCACAAATGAAACCAAATTGGGGCTGCTGTTCAGAGGGATGTCAAGAGGCTGAGGAAAGGGCTGATGGAAACTTCACAATGTTCTGAGGCAAATGTAAAGTTTTGTGCTTTTGTGCAAAGTCTTGTGTTTTTGTACTGTATTGTTTGTATTGATGGAGTAATCCCATGTGACGGTACAAACTGGGGACCATCTGGTCAGAGAGCAGCTTTGCAGGAAAGGCTGTGGGAGTCCCAGTGTATGACAAGTTGAACCCGAATCAGCAGCGTTCCCTTGCAGCAATGAAGGCCAACTGCATAGTAGGTTATATTAGCAAAAGCATAGGCAGCAGTTGAGGGAAGTGATTTCTCCCTCTGTGAGGCACTTGTGAGGCTGCATCTGAAGTTCTGAGTCTCCCTATACAAGAGAGAGATTAACAAACTGGCGAGAGTCTAGTGGAGAGGTCCCTAAGATAGTTAGGAGCTGGAGCGTGCTGCTGCAGAGGGGTCGAGAGAGCTGAGGTGTTTTTATTTTTTTTCACCTGGATAAGAGGAGGCAAAAGGAGGATCATAGTGCTGTCTTCACCTACCTCACAGTGAGTAACAAAGACAGAATCAGACTCTGCATATCAAAAGTGCAGGAGGCGAGTACTCTTAAGTTGTAGCAAGAGCTATATTCTGACCAGATACAAGGAAATTGTGTCTACTTTTGCTTTCACAGTGAGCATGACTAAAAACTGAGACAGGCTGCCCAGAGAGACTGGTGTCTCCATACTTGGTGGTGTGCAGAACTAAGCTGGACAATGCTGTGAGCAACTTCATTTAACTTCCAAGTTGGTCCTGCTTTTAGTAAGAGTTAGACCAGATGACCTCCAGAGGTCTCTTCCAACCTGAATTATTCTATGGTTTTAAGGGGAATCTTTGCAGTTAGCCTTTGACAATGACTCTGTATCCCGATTTTCCAAGAAGGGAGTGTAAGGTTAAGGAAAGGAAATTCAAAGATCTGTGTGGAACAGTGGGGTAAAAAAATCAGGTAGTGGGTACTAAAGAGGGACTACAATAGAAACTTGACAGCCAGAAGCTTTAGGAAGAGCCTATGATGTGGATTCTGGTTAGAAGAGGAAGGAAATATATGTGAACCATCTGCAGGAACTGACTTGGGTTGGTGTGGTAACATTTTGTTAGGCAGAATGCAGGGAGCTTTGTATGAAATGCTGCCTGCTTAGTTGGCTCCTTTGTTTTGTAGTACCCTTCATGTCTTCCCCTCTGAACACGTTTCTTATATCTGCATACATGATATAAATTAAGATAGCTTTACTGAAGTGAGCAGAGCCACGCCACATTTGTTTTGGTTAAATATGAAATTAAAATTAGAGGGTTGTTTTCATGCAGTAAACTTGGTAGGAGCGTAAGGGAGAAAGGCGACTTAAAATAGCATTTGGGAAATATATATAGCAAAATGAACAAACAATATGCAGTGAGTCATGTCCAGCGGTTCTTGCAATAAAAGAAAAAGGAGCTTCTCTCAGAAAACTAACAGGGAATAGCTTTTGCTTATCTGAAGCTGGAGCTACCCTCTGGGTACAGCGTTTTGGCAGTGCCCATTTGCCCTGTAGCACTGCTACATTGGGGTGTTCTGGCCACAGGGGAGGGTAGCACTTGGTGTTCACAGCAGTCAGATTGATAGTAACAGAGAATCTGAACTAATTTCTGAATTGCCAGCACTCAGGAGCACTCATAAAGACAAATTGTGTGCAACTTGAGTCACAGTGTTGTTTTGAGCCTTGGTGCCTGCTTCAGCACTCTTGTCCTAGAACAGGCTGGGTGTGATGCATCTCTGTACTTAGCTAGTACCCCCTGGAGCCAGTGGATCCCTTTGTGGGTACAAAGCACTCTCTGGGCAGACTGGACCACAGACTATCATGCATTGGGAGACCCTGCAGAGGTTAGCAAAGAAATCTTCTAGCACAGTTAAGTAAACATGATTTAAAATCTGGTTTATCTGGCAAGTGAAGACCAAGAACTGCCATTTTGCACATGGCCACAGGCTATACTGGAGTATGTCCTAGGGACATGACAAATGCCACTGTCTTAGGGGAATCTGCTACAACACAGTTATTCTCTTACCTGGCTGCTATGTAGTTTTATAAGCTGGTGGCACTACTGCCCTGAAGCAAAACTAACTGTGCTAAGGTGGAAGGCAGCATCGCAGGGCAGCTTTGCTTTTACAGGCTTTGAAACCCAAGTGAAGCAGGATAGAACTGGCCAGGCTGGGTGGCAGCAGTTTGGCCATCTCTATTAAATATAAAACTCAACACACAGCAGAGAGAAGGGGCTGTGATGACACTATTTCAGCTTTGTTCTCATGGTAACCATTATGTCATCAGGATACCATGGTTACTATAATACTCCTTATATTTCAAATGTTAAAAAAGGCCGAAAGAGAAAAAAAAAAACTTTTCCCAAAGTTGAGGAAGAGGTCTGTTTATTCAGAATTAAGTAGTCATAAAGAAGGATTAACTGGCAGTTGTCAATATTTCATGGAAAAGCCATTTTGAAACCATGAAGAACTGTTTTAATTATTAATTGCTGTTTCTGCTGCTGTACCTGTGACCATATGGTGCGTGTACTGGGGTTTCCCCTCTCTCAACTTGTGTCACTAGCAGCTATTTTGATGAACGCACACTGCAGAAGGTTAACATGGTCATATTCAAAACTTTGGAAGCATAATTTCTGCTTGAGGTAAAAACCTCAATTTGTACAAAAGTCAGAAATAAAAAAATCCCAAAGTTTAGATTGGGATTGTGAAGTTATCTCACTTCAGAGGTTCAAGAAAAGCAAAAGAAGTCTTGGCTTGGATGCTTTCAAGATGCTGAAGCATATGGCTCAAAGGAAATCAGAATGGCAGCTTGCTATTCCTTGTTTGAGGACAAAAAGTACACTGATGGCAGTGTGCTTTCAGGGGATCATGCCTGCAGACCTCTACAGCTACAGCATGAAAGACATCTTTACTGAAGGAGAGAACATGTGCTCTGATTCTGTGAGAATGTACAATTTTGAAAACGGTCTGATAATGAGAAGTAGAAGAGCTTTAGACCAATTTATGTCTGAATATGAGAAGGAACAAAAATAAAATAGACAATTAATATATTTTCAAAAGCAGCTTGTGTTCATGGAACCTTTGGTATTAGTAACTGCTCAACTTAAGACTGCTTAAGGAAATCAGTGGGCATCTGCGCACTGTCAGTATCAGGGCCTGAGAGATAGTTCAAGACAGCATCTACAAACACGGCACATTTAAAATTTTAAATTCACTTTTGACACTCCTGTGAGTTCTGGATTGCTCAGGGATTGCTGCAGGGCTGATTTTGAAACTAGAAAAAAAAGATTAACAAAATACTAGGTATTAAGATTTGATGGGGAAATTCTAAAATCAAAATAATTTTGTAATTGCTTGATCTTATCACCTGTATTGTTCTGCCTCCATTTTCCCCTGATATTTCTTATCAATGATTAAAATATCTTTTTCTAAATTGGATAGTAAATTCCTGAGGTTGGGACTGTAATTTTCTATACCAACTCACCAGAGCTCAATCATAACAAAACAGGTGAGACTCTTACAAAAACATGAAACTACATGGGCTGCATTTTAGTTGCTAAAAGACGTCTTTTTTTGCAAACGGAAATGTAATCCATTGAGAAGTACAGTATGTGACACACACATATATATATACTCACAGCCCATGAAAATTTGTTGCCAACAAAAAAAAGGACTAAAGGCTGCTGTGGAAACTTAACCATAAAATGATCAATGAGATATATACAGTTGACTCTCAAATATTGCCTTTTAATACATGTCAAGTTTCCCAAAGCGTTAAAGTACCGCAGTTATTCCTAGATTCATTTGATATATTCAGGATCTCTTCTGTCCACATCTAGCATTCAAAACATTGGCTCTGCATGCTTTTTGCATTCTTGCTGTTGCATATTTTACATACAAATAGTGAAATCACAAAAGTTTTGGC